TGCAGCGCCTTAGTAGACCAGGAACATGTACTTTGGCGAACAAAGAGCGCATGATGGTGGAGGACTACGTTAAAGATGTAGTCTGCACTTTTTCCTACCCAGGAGGAGAGTTAAATCATAAAATATCATTCCTGGTGAGGGACGATCTGCCCTTTGACATGTTATTGGGCATGTACTACCTCGAGGTTGCTAAGCCCCGGTTTGACTGGGACAAAAAGGTGTTGAAGCATGAGTTGCCTAATGGGAGGACCTAACGACTGGCTAAGTATAAAGACAGTAGGTTAATAGACTCTTATGGGTGCTTATGCGCATCTGCCTTCTATAACTATTCAAAACAGAACCAAGAGGAAGGAATGTACTTAGTCTACGTCTCTGCAAAAGGGGAGGCCGTTAAAACACCCCTAGAGATAGATACCATCGTCACTAAGTACCCTGATCTGTTCAAGGAGCCCTCAGGAGTCGGAGACAGGGAGAGATCATCCTTGGTTTCAAGACGCCTACAGGGAGAATCTATAGGATGGCTGCGATCGAGTTGGACGAGCTTCGTCGGCAATTGAAAGAGCGCACAGAAAAGGGTTGGATTCAGCCTAGCACTTCCACCTTTGGCTCACCAGTCTTATTTGTTCCAAAGAAAGGGGGAACACTAAGGTTGTGCATTGATTATAGAGGCCTCAATGCCATCACCGTTAAGAACGCAGAGCCTCTACCACGCATCGACGACCTATTGGATAGGGTGCAGGGGTGTAAGTACTATACAAAGATAAACTTAAAATCCGGCTGGCATCAGATTGCCATAAGACCAGAGGACCAGCACAAAATCGCATTTCAGACCAGGTATGGTCTGTACGAGTTTGTGGTGATGCCCTTTGGCCTTTGCAATGCGCTGGGTACATTCCAGCATGCCATGAATAGGATCTTCCATGACGAATAAGTTCGTCGTCGTGTACCTCGATGATATACTTATCTTTAGTAAGACTGTCAAGGAGCATGCTCATCATGTAGACAAAGACCTCTCACTCCTTCGGCAGCACAGGTATAAGATAAACAAAGAGAAATGTGAGTTCGGTCGCACTCGAATCTTGTACTTTGGTCATGAAGTATCCGCGGATGGGATTAGGCTCGAAGATGCGAAAGTGGCTAGCATACGTGACTGGCCACAACCCCAGTCTGTGACTGAGGTCAGATCATTCTTGGAATGTGTGGTTATTACCGCAGTACGTTCGCATCTCCCTTTGACTGATCTAGCTTGGCTTGACACACCATGGGACTGGACCGACGAGTGTGAGGCAGCTTTCAGGCGTTTAAAGCATGCTCTCACGCAGCATGAGGTTCTCATGGTACCCGACCCGCAAAGGTCATTTGTTGTAACCACTGACGCAAGCCAATACGACATTGGCGCAATGCTGGCTCAGCAGGAAGGGAAAAAGTTGAGACCGGTCAAGTACATGAGCAAAAAGATGCCATCAAAGAAGTTGGCAAAGTCCACCTACGAGAGGGAACTCTATGCTCTCTACAAGGCACTTGTCCACTGGAGGCACTATCTGTTAGGAAGGTTCTTCTACTTGACAAGTGACCATCAGACTCTCAAGTGGATCAAGACACAACCTGTTCTCTCCGATGCACTCAAACGCTGGATTGAAGTCGTAGATCAGTATGACTTCAAACTAGACTATGTGAAAGGAGAGTACAACAAGTTTGCCGATGCGTTGTCTAGAAGGGCAGATTACCTGGGTGCGCTGATTTATGAGTTTGGCTTATCTGAGGCCGTGACTCTATCTTTGGGGGAAGCCTACAAGGAAGATCCTATCACCATGGACATCATCAACAAATTGTAGGCCAAAGAGAAGGCCACAACTGACGAGTTTGTGATGGTGGATGGGTTACTCTTTCTTGAGAAGGCAGGATTTAAGAGGTTAGTTGTTCCATCTACGGAGGTTTTGCGTAGTTTATTTTTAGGAGAGTACCACAACGCAACGGGACATTTCGGCTCCAAGAAGACTAGTGCTAACTTAGTAC